CACATATTTGCCTATGGGGGGCAATTAACCCCAGGGGTGTAAATCGTTGCTCACATATGTCAATCTCTGGACTGTCTGGTGACTATTATTTACAGGGAGCTGTCTGTGGCACTATTGCGGCCTGTGGTATCATACAAAATACAAACAAACAAAAACATGACAACTTCTGAACCAGTATACAAAGATGACATCTCACTGCGACCAGCTGCTCTCCAAGAGAAATTTGGAGTCATAGGAGCTGTTGAAGAGGACATGATTTGGACGCAATTAATGATGTAAGTATAGCATGTATATTGAAATCTTAGAATCATATTGATTGTGTACTGGCCACATGCATAGCTGCAATATTGTTGACAAAACTAATAACTGGATTGTCTTGGCCAGATTTAATAGTTACTAGCTGTCATTACATGGCTGCAATAGTGCCGAGTGTGTCAATGAAACAATACAGCAACCTGTACCTGAGCAACATGGTTTGAAGAACAATTATTTACGTATTGTCACTCAGCAATGCTTCATATTAATGTGCAATATTGCTGAGTTGTTGACAATACAACACTAATCTGTATGCCAAATTTGAATATTTACCGGGCAAGTCCAGATTATTCACATCATATAGCTGCAACATTGCTGAGTAGCACTTAACATCAATGAATCAATGGATTTTGCATGGGATTGTTGTTTATAAAACCTGGCACTGGTCCAACCTGCAACATTGCTGAGTGTGACAACTGACATTATTTAGTACATATATGTACAGACTGCCATCATCTAGTTGCAATATTGCAGAGTATGGCATTAAAACAGGATGCTGATGTGAATTGTTCATAATACCAATCACTGAATTGCAGACTGCAATCATATAGCTGCAACATTGCTGATTGTGGCATCAAAACACTGATACCAAACACTGTATTGTCTGGTCCTGTTCAGATTATTTTTAGACTGCCATATATAGCCGCAACATTGCTGTGTGGCATTAAACAACCATGACCTACCATGCACAATACCAATCACTGGATTGCTTTGTCCAACTTGCAACATTGCTGAGTGACATCCAATCATGTGGATTGTCTGGTGCAGTCCAGATTATTTGCAAACATCATAGAGCTGCAACATTGCTGATTTATGGCATCAAAAAGATGCTGATGTTTTTTCACAATGCCAAACACTGTATTGTCTGGTTCTGTTCAGATTATTTGCAGTCTGCCATATATAGCCGCAACATTGCTGTGTAGTATTAAACAGATTGTCATGCACAACACCAATCACTGGATTGTTTTGTCCAACATGCAAACTGCCATAGAGCTGCAACATTGCAACACTATTTAGTTCTTATGAAATAATAAAAAAGAAAAATAAAGGTAGAAAAAGACAATGAGTGTCAATTTCTACATTTTGAATATCTATATGCTACCATCTAGCTGCAATATAGCTGAATTTCATAAGAGCAGGATGCTGGTCCTGTCCACATTATTTGGAGACTGCCATCATATAGCTGCAATATGCTGAGTGACATAAAACAAGAGGATGTGGATTGTAGTTAACAATACCAATCACTGGATTGTCTATATGCAGCCTGCCTTCATATAGCTGCAACATTGCTGAGTGGCATCAAACAACGATGAATCGCCAAGACCTACCGTCGAGAGCTACCATGAAAAAAGATGTGGATTGTTAATCAACGATTGTCTGGTCCAATTTATATGCCGACTGCCATCATATAGCTGCAACATTGCTGAGTGTGGCATTATTTAGTTCTTATGAAATAATAAAGGTAGAGAAAACAATGTGTTGTGTCAATTTTGAATATTTATATGCTACCATCTAGCTGCAATATAGCTGAATTTCATAAGAACAGGATGCTGGTCCAATTTATATGCAGACTGCCATCATATAGCTGCAACATTGCTGAGTGGCATTAAACAACGATGAATCGTCAAGACTTACCATGCAAGAGGATGTGGATTGTTGTTACTGGATTGTCTGGTCCAATTTATATGCAGACTGCCATCATATAGCTGCAACATTGCTGAGTGTGGCATTATTTAGTTCTTATGAAATAATGAAGGTAGAGAAAACAATGTGTTGTGTCAAATTCTACATTTTGAATATCTATATGCTACCATCTAGCTGCAATATAGCTGAATTTCATAAGAACATCATATAGCTGCAACATTGCTGAGTGGCATGAAACAACGATGAATCGTCAAGACCTACCAAGCAAGAGGATGTGGATTGTTGTTAACAATACCAATCACTGGATTGTCTGGTCCAGTTTATATGCAGACTGCCTTCATATAGCTGCAACATGGCTGAGTGGCATGAATCAACGATGAATCGTCAAGACCTACCATGCAAGAGGATGTGGATTGTTGTTAACAATACCAATCACTGGATTATCTGGTCCAGTTTATATGCAGACTGCCTTCATATAGCTGCAACATTGCTGAGTGGCATCAACCCAACGATGAATCGTCAAGACCTACCATGCAAGAGGATGTGGATTGTTTGTTAACAATACCAATCACTGGATTGCCTGGTCTAATTTATATGCAGACTGCCTTCATATAGCTGCAACATTGCTGAGTGGCATCAAACAACGATGAATCGTCAAGACCTACCATGCAAGAGGATGTGGATTGTTGTTAACATTACCAATCACTGGATTGTCTGGTCCAATATAGCTGCAACATTGCTGAGGGTGGCATTATTTAGTTCTTATGAAATATAAAGGTAGAGAAAACAATGTGTTGTGTCAATTTCTACATTTTGAATATTTATATGCTACCATCTAGCTGCAATATCGCTGAATTATTTGGAGACTGCCATCATATAGCTGCAACATTGCTGAGTGGCATGAATCAACGATGAATCGTCAAGACCTACCATGCAAGAGGATGTGGATTGTTAACAATACCAATCACTGGATTGTCTGGTCCAGTTTATATGCAGACTGCCTTCATATAGCTGCAACATTGCTGAGTGGCATCAACCCAACGATGAATCATCAAGACCTACCATGCAAGAGGATGTGGATTGTTTGTTAACAATACCAATCACTGGATTGCCTGGTCTAATTTATATGCAGACTGCCTTCATATAGCTGCAACATTGCTGAGTGGCATCAAACAACGATGAATCGTCAAGACCTACCATGCAAGAGGATGTGGATTGTTTGTTAACAATACCAATCACTGGATTGCCTGGTCGAATTTATATGCAGACTGCCTTCATATAGCTGCAACATTGCTGAATGCTAACTACAATGAATCAAAGGCTGAATTGATGGAAGATCTGACCTATTTTGTAAGATTGTCACAGTAAAGACTTACGTAAACAGTGTTATGTCATTTTTGTACCATTGATGTGATGTGGAGTGAGTTGGGTTTAACACTGCTTTTAACAGTATTCCAGTTATATCACGGCGTGTCAGCTGAATGTGGGAGGAAAGCCTGAAGTGATGCAGGTCTTTACTGTTTAACACTTCGGTGAAACCCACGAACTGGGATTCGAACTTAATTATAGGTTTGTGGCATGCCAAGGGATGCAACTCTACTCAGCGAATCACGGAAATTATTGTTGGGACTCATACACGATCTAAAAACACGATCTAAAAACACAATAAATAAAATGAAATGCGTTCACACGATCTAAAAACACAATAAATAAAATAAAATGCGTTCACCGTCGACAGAGTGAGAATGACTTTCTGCTGCTTTTTCAATATTCCAGGAATAGCAGAGCAGTGCTCAGAATTGGGCTACATACATTGACATCGGCTTCTATAATAACACAAAAATAATTTTGTCCAATTCTGTACTTGTAATGCAACTGACAAAAATAACATTGAAAAACAACCCTTAAACCTTACCAATATTCATTTATTTGATGTGTGAATAAATTAATATATTATACTGACTTTATGTGGTCTGTTGACATCCTGATATACAATGAGATAAAATTCTTGGATTGAAAAGGTAATTGTCTCAAACTCCTGCTTTATGCTGCTGTCTGCCAGTGATACCCTCAAAAAGACATTTGATTTTACCAGAATTAACTGATCATAATAGATATATATGAGTTGACCATACCAGACCAAAATAAATTTTAACGCTTGGCCAAGTCACAGATTGTTGAAAATGGGGCTTGAGGAATGTTGACATTTTGAATCAATCAGTTCCTAGTAATCATACTTTGAGTCAACACTAAGGCTGATGTGATCATTGCAATCTAGTTGGTTAGCTGGGTGTAAAACTAATTGTGGTGAGGTAGAGGTTCAGTATTGTATAATTATTTTCAGTTCACTTGAGTTCACTACTAGTCAAATGTAGTCATTCAATGTTTGAACGTAGCCGGAAACAAATTATAACTTTACTATTTATAATGTTTAGTGTGATGGTCATATGGCATATCAAATTTTGGTATCTGAGGTTAAGTAATACTTTCCTTTTGTTGATGAGATTTTAAAAGAAATGTTCCATCATATTTTATGAATGCTTCAACCATTATTGGAAATGAAGAGTTCTTTTTCAACTAAGGTACAGTATATTTTGGGTGTGTGGGAGATATGTACATTAAGTTCATAAATATACATTCAGGAGTCTGTTCCAGTATATACAGGGATAATTTTAGGGTGGGGGCCTAGAGCTAAAAGCTCGTAAATCTGAAAACAAACCCTACATTTGTACCTCTGGAATAATTGAAACCTTTGACATGTATTGTGTAATTTGGCCCTTTGCTTATAATGATTGAAAGTCCTGTGTGAAGTTATATTTTATGTAAGATTCAACAGTCGTAAACTAAGTTCTGAACAAAAGAAGTATTTATATCTTTGGATTTTATATGAAAAGATATAATCTATGAGTTTTTAAGTTTAGGGAAGATTTTGCAGTATGAAACTATTAAAGGGATGGGTCTTAACTTTATTTTGGGTGGGGGGGGATATTTATTAAGAGGGGGGGTAATTATTTTATCCCTCTTTTTTTTCTGTTTCAGAGATGCCACTGAAGAAGATGCTGCAACAGATGGAGGGGTATCACCTCCCTAAAAATGATACCGAGGAAGCAGGCCTCGTTAATAAATGTGCAACAGAACAAAACCCGAACAAAACATGCGCTGAAAGCTCATACAATAGTGCTACACAAAAATGCCTTACACAAAATGCTACATATGATGCCGATGCCTCAAATGCCGATACCTCAAATGCCAATGCCTCAAATGCCAATGCCTCCTATCCCAATGCCTCCTATGCCAATGCCTCAAATGCCAATGCCTCAAATGCCAATGCCTCCTATCCCAATGCCTCCTATGCCAATGCCTCAAATGCCAATGCCTCATATGCCAATGCCAATGCCTCATACGCCAAGGCGAATGCCTTAAATGCCAATGCCTCAAATGCCAATGCCTCAAATGACAATGCCTCATATGCCAATGCCTCAAATGACAATGCCTCATATGCCAATGCCTCATATGCCAATGCCTCATATGCCAATGCCAATGCCTCATATGCCAATGCTCAAAAAGATCAAAATGCTCAAAAAGACCCATATGCCAATGAGAACAATGTCAGTGATAACAATGATCCTGAGAGCTATGACCCTGATACTGACATCAATGATCCAGAGAGTTATGATCAAGATTTTGTTACCAATGACCATCATACTGATACAAATGAGACTGTACATGGTTCTTTCAATCAAGGTCACACTAGATTTGGAAAAAACAGTGGCAGACAGTGTGTAGCTAACAGTGCAATGGCAATGATGTACAATCAAATTAAGGACATTTCCACATGGGACAGCCATGATCTTGACACAGTTCTTTGTAGAGGAAACAAACTTTATGAAGATTCTATAAACCAGAGACAATCAACTAGTCGTAGTGCATACCTTCTTGTGTCAGACATTTGTCCAACAGTAGACTTCTTTGGCAAAGAATATAGATTTGTGTCTGGCGATTCTCTGACTGGCTTTGTGATGAAAGATACTGAAGAAATTGTTGATATTCCACAACAAATGTGTCTCGATGCTGCACTTCAAACAATATTTTCACAACATGATGCTACTTTTGTGACATTTGGAGGATCAACATTTGCTGTGATAGAAAGAAATAACAAATACCACGTGTTTGATTCCCATTCCCGGAACACTGAAGGATTACAAGTCACTAATGGTACTAGCATACTTATTCAATACACAAGTCTGCTTCAGGTCTATGAACACTGTTTGAATCTTGCTCGGTCAATGAACTTAAATGCAAATTCACAATTTGAAATGACAGGTATGAGAATTACCACTGGTGTAGAGCCACATGACAACCGGTCTGACAATGCGAGTGATACCAATGACAATGATGATGTTGTGCATATTGATGAACTCGAAGACAACTCACAGGATGTAGAGCCACATGACAACCGGTCTGACAATGCGAGTGATACAAATGAGAATGATGAAGTAGTGCATATTGATGAACTCGAAGACAACTCACGGGATGTAGAGCCACATGACAACCAGTCTGACAGTGCGAGTGATACCAATGACAATGATGATGTAGTGCATATTGATGAACTCGAAGACAACTCACAGGATGGTAGTGTGGAAATGATTGATATTGACACAAATGAGACTGTACATGGTTCTTTCAATCAAGGTCACACTAGATTTGGAAAAAACAGTGGCAGACAGTGTGTAGCTAACAGTGCAATGGCAATGATGTACAATCAAATTAAGGACATTTCCACATGGGACAGCTATGATCTTGACACAGTTCTTTGTAGAGGAAACAAACTTTATGAAGATTCTATAAACCAGAGACAATCAACTAGTCGTAGTGCATACCTTCTTGTGTCAGACATTTGTCCAACAGTAGACTTCTTTGGCAAAGAATATAGATTTGTGTCTGGCGATTCTCTGAGTGGCTTTGTGATGAAAGATACTGAAGAAATTGTTGATAATCCACAACAAATGTGTCTCGATGCTGCACTTCAAACAATATTTTCACAACATGATGCTACTTTTGTGACATTTGGAGGATCAACATTTGCTGTGATAGAAAGAAATAACAAATACCACGTGTTTGATTCCCATTCCCGGAACACTGAAGGATTACAAGTCACTAATGGTACTAGCATACTTATCCAATACACAAGTCTGCTTCAGGTCTATGAACACTGTTTGAATCTTGCTCGGTCAATGAACTTAAATGCAAATTCACAATTTGAAATGACAGGCATGAAAATTAGCACTGATATACAGCCACATGACAATCAGTCTGACAATGCAAGTGATACCAATGACAATGATGATGTAGTGCATATTGATGAGGATGGTACAGTAGATATGATTGAGATTGACCAAAGTGATGATACGGCATGTGAAACAAATGAGAATGATCAAGATGACATGATGCATATTGATGAATGTGACGACAACTCACAAGATGGTAGTTTGAAAGAAACTGGAACTGACCAACATGCAATGCTATTCTGCCCTGTATCATCAAATGTATGTGAACAGTTATGCAAGAAGCTTGATATTCAACACCAATGTGTAGCAAAGTCTCAAGATCATGAATTTGGTGTAGAAATTGATGTACCATGCAGAACAGTATCCATTGAAGGTGATGGCAATTGCTTCTTTAGAAGTCTTTCATATGCAATCTCGGGCAAAGAAAACAACCACAGGAAAATCAGACTGGCTATTGTGACACATCTAAAAGAACATGCTCAAAGTTTCCATCACTTCTTAAGACCAGGTTACGAGTCAGTTGAACAGTACATTTCTCAATCCAGAATGTGGTATGTTGGAACATGGGCTACAGAACTTGAAATACTTGCAGCTGCAAATCTACTGGGCACTGACATATGCACATACTCTGATAACAGATGGCTGAGATATTCAAGCAGGCAGTTAAACTCAGACACAGTGAACACAGGAACTGGCATATATCTAAATCATGTTGGTGGATCACATTATGAAGTGGTTGTTTGTGTGAACACAGTAGATGCTTTGAGAAACTCATGTACAGACAAATATTGTCAGAGACATATGAATATCAAGAGAAATGCTGACCAGCTATCTGCAGATTTGCTGAATGACAGAAAGTCAGTCTTGAAAAAACAAAAATGTTCTGATTCTAAAGAAAAGAGACCTGATCACAGACCAACTAAAAAACCAAAAGGAAAGTATGCACAGGCAAAAGCTAAAAGAGAATATATGAGAGCCAAAAGAGAATTAGAGAAAGATAATTCTGAAACATTGAATTTGAATGTGAAACAGAGAAGACTTGCAAAAGAGAATGAAAAGTACAACACTGACCTAGATTTCAAGAACAGAAAGAAACTGCAAAGTTCAAATAAATACAAAGATGATGAAGCACACAGGGAATTTGTCAAAAAATACAGTACTAACAAATATGCTACTGTCTCTGAACACAAGGAAACAGTAAAAGCTTACAGCAGTCAGAAATATGCCACAGATTCAAAACACAGGGAAGATGTTAAAACGTACAGCAGTCAGAAATATGCCACTGATTCAAAACACAGGGAAGATGTTAAAACGTACAGCAGTCAGAAATATGCCACAGATTCAAAACACAAGGAAGATATAAAATCTTACAGCAGTCAGCAGTATCGAAAAGATGCAAAGCACAAGGAGGCTCTAAAAAATCTCAGTTCAGAGAAATATGCAAAGGACGAAAAGCACAGAGAAAATAAAAAGAACAACAGTATCGAGAAATATGCAAACGATGAAAAGCACAGAGAAAGTGTAAAAACCAACAGTACAGAGAAATATGCAAACGATGAAAAGCACAGAGAAAATGTAAAAACCAACAGTACAGAGAAATATGCAAACGATGAAAAGCACAGAGAAAGTGTAAAAACCAACAGTACAGAGAAATATGCAAACGATGAAAAGCACAGAGAAAGTGTAAAAACCAACAGTACAGAGAAATATGCAAAGGATGAAAAGCACAGAGAAAATGTAAAAACTAACAGTATCAAGAAATATGCAAAAGATGCAAAGCACAGGGAATCTGTTAAATCAGCAAGCATTGCCAAATACAAAGCTAGTGGTGAACACAGAACTAATTTGAAAGAGAGACAATCTGCCAGGGTTCTGCAATTAACCAAAGAAAGGAAAATAATGGAAAATGTTACACAATCCTTTGCCAAAAACATATCTGAAGGTCCAGAATTTGTGTGCTCAGTGTGTCATCGAAGACTTTTCAAAAAACAGGTTGTACAATGTAAAAGAACAGTGTATGAAAACAAAGGAAGTAATATTGCCACTGTTGCTGAGAGATGCATCACAGAAAATTACCTACACAGGTGCTCAGACAGTTGTGATGACCAATGTTCATTTGTCGATAGTCCAGAAGGCACATTATGGATTTGCTATACTTGTCATAGGAAACTTTTGTCTGGTAAAATGCCTGGAGAAGCTGTTGTTAACAACCTTGAACTGACCCCTGTTCCTATGCAACTGCAATGTCTCAATGAACTAGAGCAGCACTTGATTGCCTTGAATATTCCTTTCATGAAAATGATGGCATTACCAAAAGGTGGACAACATGGCGTACACGGACCTGTAGTATGTGTTCCCTCTAACATTCAGAAAAGCACAAGTATGTTACCGAGAAGTGATATAGATGATCAGATGATTAGAGTGAAACTGAAAAGGAAGATTACTTACAAAGGCCATTATCAATACCAGTTTGTCAACAAGGCTCATGTTAAAAATGCTTTGGAATATCTTCAAACAACTAACAAATGGTACAGTGATGTGAATTTTAATACAGATTGGGTCAATCCCTTGCCAGTTATTGATGAGGAAGATGAAATTATTGATTCTGATACTGAAACATTACCTGAGGTTGAAAAGGATAGCTCAAACACACAAACTAATGAAAATGAAGAGTCTGAGAAAGATCATGGATTACTCATGAATACATGTCTACAACCGCTTGATATTGGCCAAGAAGTTATGGATCAATATTTTGAAAAGATAACTTGTATTGCACCTGCTGAAGAAAATAATCCTGTTCGACTACTGACAGACAAAAGCAATGAAGCAAGGTCATTTCCAGTTCTGTTCCCATCAGGGTCCCCTACATTCCATGATGATCGTGAAGAGAGAATTACAATTGCACGTTATCTACATACACGCCTCATGAATGCTGATAGCAGATTTGCTCAAAACACTGACTACATATTTTATGCACAGTATCTTTCTGAAATTGATCAAGTTATGTCAAATGTTTCCATTGCAATGCGAAAAGGATCACAGTCACATGGTAAAAATGTTACATCTGAAAATCTTACAGATTCTGATTCTCTGAGAGAGATATTAAAATGTGATGAAGGCTACAAGTTCTTGAAACCTATCAGAGGAACTCCACCATACTGGCAGTCTGCTCAGAAAGATTTATTTGCTATGATAAGACAACTCGGCATTCCAACTTGGTTTTGTTCATTTTCATCAGCTGATATGAGATGGCCAGAAATGATTGAAACGATACTCAGAGAAGCAGGTGATACACGGAAAGCCACTGAACTTGACTGGTCTGAAAAATGTTCTATACTAAGGAAAAATCCAGTGACAGCAGCACGAATGTTTGACCAAAGGTTCCATTGCTTCTTGAAAGAGGTTATCATGTCACCAGCTGAACCAATTGGAAAGATAAAAGATTACTTCTATCGTGTAGAATTCCAGCACCGTGGTTCCCCTCACACTCACTGCCTTTTCTGGGTTGAGAATGCTCCAAAGGTTGATGACGATAATGATGAGTCAGTAACATCTTTCATTGATAAATATGTCACATGTGATATGCCTTCAGTTGAGAATGATGAAGAATTGTTTGATATTGTCAACAGTGTACAAAAACATAGTAAAAGACATTCAAAGACATGCAAAAAAAATGGCACAACCTGCAGATTCAATTTTCCACGTCCTCCAAGCAATGAAACTTTCATATCACGAGCAGGAGGTCTTGACAATAAACCAAAAGATGTTGTGCCCAAAACCTTGAAACAGTGCTGTGAAGATCTTTTCAATATGAAATTTATGTCCATACCAGATGCTCAAAGAATTTTGAAACTGATTTGGCAAGGATTAACAAATGATGAGCAAACATTTGAGTCAGTTGATGCATTGTTCTCTGCCATTGGTATTTCGCAAGACATATTTCAACTAGCATGTGATACTCTATCCAAAAAGACAAATGTTGTGATGAAACGCAATCCCAATGATGTATGGGTCAATCAGTACAATGCAGATCTGCTCAGATGTTGGAATGCGAACATGGATATTCAGTACATAGTTGATGCCTACTCTTGTGTTGTCTACATCATTTCATATATCTCAAAGGCAGAAAGAGAAATGGGATTACTGTTGAATCATGCACAAACAGAAGCAAACAAGGATAACTCTGATGCAAAATCTGCTCTCAAGAAACTTGGTGCTGTATACCTACACAATAGAGAAGTGAGTGCTCAGGAAGCTGTCTTTCGAGTTTGCAATTTGAGATTGAAGGAAGGATCACGTAAAGTACAGTTCATTCCAACCGTAGACCCTGTCAGAATGAGTTTGCCTCTTAAAACACTGCAGAACAAACGAAAGAGTGGTGAACTAGATGAAGATGAAATGTGGATGACAAGCATTGTTGATCGATACAAGAGCAGACCCAAAGGTGACGAGTTTGATAACATGTGTCTTGCAACGTTTTGCTCAGAATACAGAGTGCTACCAAAATCTGAAGTATCAAATGTTTCTGATGACAAACGCCGTAGTCCAGTAGTAACATTACAAAATGGCCTTGGTCATGTGAAAAAACGTACTCGGACTGATGCAGCAGTTATCAGATATGCCAGATTTTCACGTACAAAGAATCCAGAAAAACACTATCACAGTATATTGCAGTTATTCTTGCCATACACATTTGATGCACAATTAAAACCACCCGCATTCAATTCGTATGAAGAGTTCTATGAAACTGGTGCTGTTCAGATTGAGAACTGTCCTTTGGAAACTGTGAAAGAGATTGTTGACAGAAACAAAGCAATGTTTGAGAAAGATGGTGATGTTATTGATGAAGCAGAGGAATTGTTTGACAAAACAGGTCAATTGGAAGATGCTTGGGCTCAAATCTGTCCAGAAACTGAATCTGAAAGAATAGCATGTGAAGTTGAACACACTTGTACGACCGATGAGGAAAGTGAAAGTGAAACTGCTAAGAACATGCCTGATTTGCTACTGAAGGATAACACGTTATCAAAAACAGAGGTACTTCAGAGTACAATGTCAAAACAAGAGGCAGAAACTATTCTGAGATCAATGAATGAAGAACAAGCTGAAGTTTTCTATAAAATAAGACAGTGGTGTTTGGATAAAAGGAATGGCAAAAATCCTGATGCATTTAATCTATTTCTGACTGGTGGAGCTGGTACTGGAAAGAGCCATTTGATCAAGGCAATTTGCTATGAATGCACTAGACTGCTAGCCCCAATGCAAAATAATCCAGATGATAACTCTGTGCTTTTGGTAGCTCCAACCGGTATTGCAGCATTTAACATACATGCTTCCACGATACACAGTGCACTCTCAATTGGAATTGATGCAAAACTGCCATACCAGCCACTTGGTGAGGAAAAGATCAATAGTCTGCGAGCAAAGCTGCAAAGTATCCACATACTAATCATAGATGAAATATCAATGGTTGATCACAAGCTGTTATCATACATTCATGGTAGATTGAGACAGATCAAACAAACTGCTGATTATTCACCATTTGGAAATGTATCTGTAATTGCTGTTGGAGACTTTTATCAGTTATCACCCGTTAAAGGAACACCATTGCATGTTGCCAAAAATGGATATGACCTGTGGAATGATAATTTTTCTATTGCAGAATTGACAGAGATCATGAGACAAAAGGACCCTGCATTTGCACAACTTCTGAATCGGTTACGAACACGAAAAAAGTCAGACCCTCTTGACACAAGAGATATACATATGCTCAAACAACAAGAAACTGGTGAAGATGATCCAGAAAGCATTCACATTTTTGCAACAAATGCTCAGGTTGATGAATACAATATTGCTGCTCTTCATTCTAAATGCTCAGATCCAATTTGTATTGACGCTCAAGATTTCTCACGAAATGCAAAAACAGGGAAACTTGAAAAGAGAGAAATACCTCATGGAAAAGTTCATAACTCAGTCTTACAAAAAAGTCTCAATGTTGCAATTGGTGCGCGTGTGATGATCACAAAGAATATTGATACATCAGATGGTCTTGTGAATGGAGTCTTTGGAACTATAAGCCACATATCTTTGACTGATGGTGAAAGATTTCCTTCAAAAATACATATTGTGTTTGACAAAATTGATGTTGGTCAGAAATTACGAAGAATGGAAGGCACTGCATCTGAATTAGATCCTAACAGTACTCCTATTAAGCCACAAGAAGAAACTGTTTCAAACAATGGAGGCATTAGACGACAATTTCCACTGAAACTAGCCTGGGCTTGCACCATACACAAAGTACAAGGGATAACTGTTAACAAAGCTGTTGTTTCATTACACAAGGTATTTGCAGCAGGACAAGCTTATGTAGCACTAAGTCGTGTATCTTCTCTTGATGGTCTTATCATTCAGAATTTCAAAGAATCAGTCATATACAGCAGTGTAAAGGTTGAAGCAGCAGTGTCTAGTATGCCAAAGTTCATGACAAGAAATCAGAGAATCTATGATGGTCATCCAACATGCACGCTAATTATGCAAAACATTGAGGGCCTTCAATCACATATTAAAGATCTGCAGAATGACAAGAGGTTTTTAGAGTCTGATTTCATTTGCTTGACAGAAACATGGTTATCTGATTCACATCCAGCTGATGAACCAAAACTTGATGGATTTACGTTACATCATAAACCCAGATCAAAGTGTTATGAATCATCTGAACCAATACTGATGCAACTGAAAAATCAAAGACATGGTGGTGTTGGAGTTTATTCTAGTGAAGTCAAAACATGTGAATTTACTCAGTTACCAGTATCTAATTTAGAGTATCTGTGTATGTACGTCATGGAAGTACAAGCTCATGTTGTTGTTATCTACAGGCCAAGCTCATACACAGTTGATATTTTCAGAAAGCATATGCTTCAACTTGTTCAGGAACTTGATAACCGTTCTGGTCGATCAATCATCATGGGTGATTTCAATGAAAATATCTTGTCATCATCTTCAATACAGACTATGATGGAATCAAATGGATTTACACAGATGGTTTCAGAACCTACTACTGAAGGTGGAACGCTTCTTGACCATGTATATGTGAAAGGACTTGAGAATGTATCTGTTCAGATTCTTCCTACATACTTTGGGTATCATGAAGCTATTGAAATCAAATTATGAATATAGCTGTGAATATAACAGTGATGAAAAACAATCTTTACCATGTCATCATTTGAAAAGTCCCTATTTTATCAAATTTGTAAATCTCGTTTATCAAATTTGTAAATCTCGTTTCAACAAAAGACACTGGCCTGGTATTGCACCTATCTGATTTTAAGCATGAATTGTACAAACCCCTGAAGAAGTGACTACCTGGATCGGGTGGTCAGGCTCGCCGATGGGTGAGTATCACAGTTGGGTGGATCAACGCTCATGATGTCAATCACTGGATTGTCTGGTCCAGACTTGGTTATTTATAGACTGCCATCATATAGCTGAAACATTGCTGAGTGCTGCGTTAAACAATAATCAAACACATGAACTGTACATGTATTATCATAATTAGACCTGTATTAATCTTTGTGACTTTTGTTGTAAAAGCATCTTGTACAAAATATGAATGGACTCTACTTGAATTATCATGAATGTGGACCTGAGACCAACTTCTTATTTTACAAGGAATATAATTGTTGAAAATTACATTGATTCTACTTGATGAAATGGTATGTTATTGCACCTATCAGACTTTTATTGTGAAAGTAGCAACTTTCACAAAATGAGCATGAATTGTACAAACCCCTAAAGAAGTGACTACCGGGATCGGGTGGTCAGGCTTGCCAATGGTTGATGCATGTCATCGTTTCACAATTGGGTGGATGAAGGCTCATGATGTCAATCACTGGTTTGTTTGGTCCAGACTTGGTTATTTATAGACTGCCATCTTATAGCTGAAACATTGCTGAGTGCTGCGTTAAACAATAAACAAACACATGAATTGTACCTGTATTATCATAATTAGACCTGTATTTATCTTTGTTACTTTTGTTGTAAAAGCTTCTTCTACAAAATATGAATAGATTATCATGAATATGGATCTGAAGTTAACTTCTTATTTTACAAGGAATATAATTGTTGAAAATAACATTGATCCTACTTGATGAAATAATGGGCAATGGATGTCATTTTATAGATTGAAAAGTCACTGATATTTATAATTTAGTTCATGTCAAGTTGTTGCACATGCTCAATTATCTTGTGTATAATTTCATATGTAGATGAGGTGCACTGTACATATTATGTATATATTTTGAAAAACATTAACATGTATCTGAAAAGTGCTAATTTAAATCAATTTGTAAATCTTGTGAAATGAAAGACACTGACATATTATTATCATCTGTATTTATAAATAATGAATTTTGTTGCAAAAGCAGTTTCTACAAAACATGAAAGACTTGTTCTTTATTATCATAATTATAGGCCTTAGTCCGACATACAAAATACCAAATTGTTATTTTGTTGAAAATGTAATACTATTGATTCTACTAGATGTGTGAGTGTGTGTGTGTTTTGTATACTGTTAATATATATTTCTTTTCCTGTGTATATGTTATTTCTATGTATAGATTTTAGCATGTATATACTTTAGCTGATCTAAAAGAAAAGAAATATCTGTCAGAATATAGTTCATGTCAAACTATTTCACTGCTCAATTATTTTGTGTATAATTTCATATGTAGATGAGGTACACTGTACATATTATGTATATATATTGAAGAAATATAAACATGTATCTGAAAAGTGCTAATTTAAATCTATTTGTAAATCTTGTTAAATGAAAGACACTGACATATTATTATCATCTGTATTTATAAATAATGACTTTTGTAGCTGTGAAAGCAGCAACTTTACATAAAAGATGCATGATTTGTTCTGACCTCTGAATATCCGGGGTAGAATAGGTCTTAAGCAACCCATACTTGCCACAAAAGGCGATTATGCTTGTGGTAAGAAGCAACTATCGGGATTGGATGGTCAGACTCACCGTCTTGGTTGATGCATGTCATTGTATCACAATTGTGTGGATCGATGCTCATGATGTCAATCACAGGACTGTCTGGTCCAGACTTGATTATTCATAGACTGCCATCATATAGCTGGAATATTGCTGAGTGCTGCATTAAACAACATATAAACAAATGAATTGTACCTGTATTTATCATAATTATAGACCTGTATCGATCTTTGTGACTGCTATTGCGAAAGCATCTTCTACAAAATATGAATGGACTCTACTTGTATTATAACGAATGTGGACCTGAGGCCAACTTCTGATTTTTCAAGGATTATTGCTGTTGAAAAGTACATTGATTCTACTTGATGAAATAATGGATGCCATTTTATTGATTGAAAAGACACTGATATTTTGTCAAGTTATTGCACATGCTTATTTATTTTGTATATAATATCATATGTACATGAGGTGCACTGTACATATTATGTATATATATTGAAGAATTATAAACATGTATATCTGAAAAGTGCTAATCTAAATCAATTTGTAAATTTTGTTAAATGAAAGACACTGACATATTATTATCATCTATATTTATAAATAATGACCTTTGTTTTGTATACTGTTAATATATATTTCTTTTTCTGTGTATATGTTATTTCTATGTATAGATTTTAGCATGTATATACTTTAACGGAGTTAAAAGAAAAGAAATTCATATAAGCTTATGGCATTTTCTCAATTATTCTATGTACTACATGTCACTCATTCTAATTTGATAAAAACCAAGACAGATTCATTGCCATAGGTTTGTTTGAATATGTGTAGAATAAAAGCACACTTACAGTTTAAAGTTACTGATGAAACTGATGGAGAAGTGGTATTTTACCATAATGGCATGGAGAAATATTACAGTGTATAATCATGGCCCTTGGTTGTTCATTGTGGACTGACCATTTAATATTCCCTGTGTGCATCATGTACCTGTACACAAGGGATGTCACAATTCACTGATGTATCTATATGTATAAACCTGATGATAGGACACACAATAACCTACTAATGTATCAATTTATGTTTTAACTGTATCCAATATTCAAGAAGTAGTATTTTACATTTGCAACAACTTGATATAAGCTGTACCCTGGAAAGAAAGGATGCACTCATGTATTCAGGAACAAGTGGTTTCGTAACTATTTGACAGTAAATCATAAACAGATGCTTCTGATATGGTGAGAAACACAAATTAGACCCTACTTTTAGTGGAGATTTCTTATGAAACTGGAATTGATTTTGTCGTGGTTATTTCACACCTCAGGGCCCCTCCACATTGTATTTTCGACGGTGGAGTGGGTCCCATTAAGGGGTGTTGAAGCTATTTTCAAGTCTAAAACACCTCAGGGTCACTCCACATTGTATTTTCGACGGTGGAGTGAATCCCATAAAGGGGTGTTGAAGACGATGAAATTAGCACATGTACTATACTACAACCTGGTATGTATGTAAATAAAAGTGACAAATCATTCCATAAACTTTACTAAAAGCAGTGTTCATTTAATGTTTCTGAGTATACCATAAGCATGTGTTCATGAATCACCATCAAATAGTGATGATATCAGGTGTTTGTGAAACGGTGATCATTTTTTTATAGCCAGAGCAGATATCAGGCCGATATTAAAAATGTAAAAACCATCCATGTGAATTTTTTATGCAGAATTAAAACATGAAACAATACATCCATAGGTTATTGTGTATCCTAACAACAGGTGTAAACATACACATAGATACAGACACATGACATCAAAATGTAAATTGTGACATCCCTTGTGTGGTGTGATCTTGTAAGTCTTATTGCTGTATTGTTTTCCTCTTACATGCAAAATGATGAAACGTTACAATTGTCTATTTCAATGTACAACTTGACAATTATTATGCTTTCAATGCTGTCCATAGCAATGTTTCGTTGCTATATGATGTTCTATACAGAGCAAGTATCATGCTAGTATTTAACTGAAGTCCAGGAATTCATCTATGAACATTAATACTCAGTTGTATTATTCTACAAACATGTGTATGTGGAGAATCATCACTGATTTTATCACATGCATTGCCACCTGGTGGATCTAGTACGCAACTAGCTAGTTTTAAACCTAGAGATAAATCTTACAAATCACCACAATATAACCAAGGGGACGATTTCAGTATGGATCTTTACCACCTAGCTAGGTTTGAACGTGGGGTAAACATTGTGCAAATGTCAATATGTCTTCTGCATATGCGTGTACAAATGTGTTCATGTAGTCCTGTCTTGATCATGACAGTTTTTATCTATGATGCTTTATGATATGTTCAATCTTTTGATATTATGTTTCTTTCATGCTTTGTTCCTGAGAACACAATACACTTGATATATTATAAAGGTCATGTCATTTTTATACAGATCACCCTTATTTATCTGGAATATAGCTGAGTGTGGCTTTACAACAATCCAAGTGTACATGATGTGTTGATGATAACATGAACTGCATGTCGTTTTGTTGAAACCATTACTTTTGCTTGTTGATTACCCATGAAATGTAATAAAACTTATTTGCATAATGAATCGGATTACTTTGTTTTAAATCTGGAATAATTGGATGATACTGTAGTACTCTTGTCCTGAACCAGCACTACATGGCGGTGTATTGGATCATCAACATTATAAAAGGTCCACAGGTCTTTGAAATATGTGATGAATTTTAATCAATCACTGTGAAGAAAACATATTTCTTCTTCCACTTTTTGTTAAATTAATTAAGATGTCTAATGTTACATATCCATGCTACAGGTCTGAAAAGGCTACAACCTGGGGCTTTTTTAAAATTACTTCCTAAAAGATACACACTACTTACACATACACATACTACATGTACTAAGTTAACCTAAATATTTGTTGGGATATACTGGTTATGTTTTTCAAACATAAGCACATTCAAGAACAACATTCTATTTTCAGTACTATTTCAATTTGCTTGAAACAAACAATATTAATCTCCCTAGGGTTATACCTTAGAATAATGATGATACATTCATGTCAAGAATGCAAGTAATAGATACAACCAAGATGAATGGAATTCTTTCAAAAGGGTGCATCCTAAAACGGCACCTCAGCAAAACGTCACCGATT